TTCAAATGAAGGGGCAAGAAACAGGTCAGGACAGGGATCAGATCTAGCCCATACTGGTAGTAAGAAGACCAGATTTTAAGTATGATTTATTCCTCTTAAATACTGAAAGTATATCTGTGGACTTTTCTTCATCAGAGTCCAAAATGTACGGTAAGATATCTAAGTCCAAAATGTGAGATAAATGTAAGATAATGGTCCAAGCAGCTTTTATAATCCAGTTGTTCTCACTCCTTGGCAAGAAGGAACAGTCTCTCAAGATCTTGATTGTTATGTGCTCTAGAAGTTTCCTCCTTCCTAATATAAACGGTTCTTCCCAGCCCTGGGCTTTGTCACTGTGGGGGATGTACATGCTGCTTATTTTCCCCAAACAGTCCTTAACCAGCTCCCTGCAAAAGTCCAAGCAGCTTTTACAATCCAGTTGTTCTCACTCCTTGGCAAGAAGGAACAGTCTCTCAAGATCTTGATTGTTATGTGCTCTAGAAGTTTCCTCCTTCCTAATATAAACGGTTCTTCCCAGCCCTGGGCTTTGTCACTGTGGGGGATGTACATGCTGCTTATTTTCCCCAAACAGTCCTTAACCAGCTCCCTGCAAATCCCTGCTTACAGGGCAGGAGAAAACCGCGGGTTTTGCCCTTCCCAACAACCTTCACGCAGGTTGTGTGCATCCTGCCAGATGCGAGTATGCTACAGGTTACTGCTGAACACTAATCTGATCTTATGCTTTCTCTCTCTTGGAGATTGCTTTTGGTTATTGGCTGCCTGAGTGATGCAAGCCTGATGCCATGCTCCCATGGCACTGGGAGCAGAGTGACGTGATCCAGAGCAATCTGACTCATTCACTCACGCTCTCTCTTCCCAAGCAGGGAAGTTCATGACTGCCCAATGCAGAGGGACGTTTCTGACACGTCTCAGGCAAGAGCTCAGTGGCACTGTTAATAGAGCACGGTTGTCTCATTTGTAGGCTCTATTCATCTGACAGCTAAGAATTATCAATACTGATGCTTCACTCCCTCTCTCTTTTTCTCCAAGCTAGTGATTTGTCTATGTTATGGGTAGGTAAGCTTGACAAAACATTACACATTAGCAGCTGAGACCGTGTTTGAAATGGGAAAATTGCTAGCAAACTGCTCCATTAGAGACCCAAATAACAAATTCTTTCTTTCCCTCAATGAAAGAGAGATAGTTAAGGCCCAAATTAATATGTCTGTCTCCCCTACTCTGCAGGGGAATCACTCTTCGAGACAAATGGCTTCGTCACTCCTGAGAGGGTGAGCTGGCTCTACGAAGGCTGCGTTAGGCAGAGTTTTTTATCCTTTGTGTTTTGCCATCCTGGGTGTGAGCAGTACAGGCGCCAGATTGAGGAGGTGATGAAAAGATTTGCACCTCAGTGAACTTTGAGATGGATTAGCATGGGAATTTGAGTGCTTATTCTTTACTCTGGGATAGTTTTTCATATTTAACTGCATAGTTTCCCCCGTTTGTTTTATTTTTTTTCTCCGATATGTTTACTTTTTGCTCTCATTGCTGCAAAGTCATTTAAAGAGAGGGGGAAGAAGGAGGACTTTATCCTGTCTAACATCATGTTATTACAAGAAAAATGCATCTGAATCCATTGGGCCCTCATACTTTCCAATCTCTGATCATATATTAGAGAAGAGAAAGGAAATTGTTCTTGTCCTTTGATGTTGTTGTCAAAGGCTCTAAAATAAAGCTTCGAGAGGCAGACAGAGCATTGCTGCCTGTCAGAAGGGGGGAGATATGCTTCAATTCATCTAAGCGATACAGCTGGCAGCAGGCGACATGGCACAGTGAAATGGGTAACTAAAAGGAGGAACAGAAGCCCCTGAGAGGTTTGAACATGGCCAATTTATTTTATCAGTTTTGTGAATTCTACTTGTGGAGTCTTTTAAATAGATCTTCTTATGAAATACCAGAGGAAAATCGAGGAAAACTCTATTGAGTTGTAAGAAATCTTAAATGTGGGGGATAGTAGTTCAAATGATCAAAATTTAGCCTTTTAGGACTGTGTCTCTTTTACAGAGTTCTCAAATGTGTTGTAAAATTATTTTATAGTATATTCTGGTGACACACAACAAAATGAACTCACCAATGTTGCTTTGCACTAGCACAGGTAGTTTTATAGTGTATGACAGCAGTTCATAGTATGCATGGATAGACCATGAAAAACACAGTTTTCCAGAGGTCATGTTCTAGGTAAACTAGGTAATTTTCTCTGAAATAAAATGTGGCTGTAAAACTTAGATTAGCTTTTCACTTTTTGGAGCAGAACATGACAACACTAGGTAAGAACTCTGTTTTTCACTTTATTTGAAAGATGGCACCTCTAGCAGCAGTTTCCCATTATATCATGAATAACACGGGCTTATAATTAAGCCTTCATCACCTTGAAATTGCCAACACCCCTTCTGGCAAAACCTGGTGTTTCCTAGAGATTTTTAATCCTGTACTGTCCTTCACATGTCATTTATGAGCTCAGATGAGGTGAAAGCACAAAGTATTAATACAAGTAATTTGTTTTCTACTATTTTAGTTATGTAGCTGCATTGTGTTTTTCAGCCTATGCCTGCCAATCTATAACGTGCATTTATGAAAAAAATAAACAGAAGTCAGATTAGTACTTCATACTTTTAAAATACCTGCTTATTTAATGCTGTACTTTATTTAATGCTCCAAGATAATTTTGTGTCCAAGTTGGAATCCACCTGCAAACACACCCTGATGAGAGCACACAGTACTGTAGCTTGTTGCTTCTCCGGTAGCATCTGCAAAATGTAGTGCGCTAAGCATAATGTGCTATGTGTAGTCTTTAGTCCTTCATTTACAAAGAGCTTCATACAATTAAAAAAAGTAAGGTGCTAAGGTGAAAATATAGCAGCAGATGACAACAGCCTTGTCCATCTATTTCTGTACAGGCCATCTGCTGCAAATTTTGTAGGAAAGGGTGAAGAATTCAGTACTGCTTCAGAAGGTAGCTCTCTGAAACAACTCTTTTTCTGTATTCCTCTCCACCTTTTCTAAAAATTTCATTTTTTCTTATTACTTGGGATCTGTGGCTATTCTAATTTTGGCTTTTCATGCCCTTTGGGGGCAAAATTTTTGTGTGTATTTCCACCCTTGAGTCACTAAAATTTTCTTGGAATTTTAAGTGATTATAAAAAGGGGCCATGTTTCCCCCCATCACTATATTTGAGTTTCCCTGTAAGGACTGCTATGCTGCGCCTATGTGCAGCATGTGTGAACCCCCAGTTTCCACACATAAGGCAAGGGAATTGGACAAGCATGGCCCTCTTTTGTTCCTAGAAGTGTCTGCATAGAAATACTTGGGAGGAGTTAAACACCAAACTGGCAAGCTGACAAAAAGCCTTTATGGGAAGAGTATGTGTACTGCTAATTCTGGTGACAAACACCCAACAATAGTAGCGTGCTGAAGCTTACAGCAATTTGCATTTCACTGTGGACTTGCCAGAAATGAAGCACATTATATTTAGACCAACTGGAAGGGAAATCTCAGACACTAATTCAAATCACAAAACAAGGAATAGAAGTAACTCTGATCACAACCTTTAAAATAGACTGCTACAGAAATAAAAGAGTGCATGCACATTGACTGTACAAGTTGGCTGTGCAAGTATCACAATATTCATGACTTAAATAGTTTCTTAGAGTATAACTGAGCTGGCAAAATATCCTATTTTCAAGGGGATTTTTCTTTTGTCTATTGAAAGCGCAGATCAACAGAAGGATAGGCTGTGCAATAGAGGGCTGATGGGCCTTACAAATTTTCTCTACATTATTCCCAAGTCCTTTAAAAAACATTATTTACTTCTCCCTGCATCTCATTTTATCTCCCTTCCCGGTTTTAAAATTTTTTCTCCCCTGTGCCTTGCTGCAGCAGCTCTAAATTACTAGAGTGATTCATTCCATCATTCCAGTATGTTTTTGTTCAAACAATTCTAAACCATTTCCAACAGCAGATTTTTGCTATTGAAACTGTTTCTTTTTATGACATTTTTGGAAAAAATATACAACGTTTGAATAATAAGTAAGAGCTAGGTAAAATCAAATTTTGCTTTCAGTTCCAACTCTGTAGAATTTTAGCTGCCACGGTTATTTGAATTTGTTGTATGGGGATCAACTTTTACATTTCTAGTTGAGATGAATATTTAGGTTTCATCTGAGGAGAAGACAGTCCTTTTAGCAGAAATTTGGGGAACTTGCTGACAAAGACTTGAAAACACTTCTGGGAAGGAACAGAAATCAATCTTAGTGGTTACTGTATGCGGTCTCTTAAAGCTGCTTACATTTTATGTTGGTCAGACATGCATTTATGATACTTCATGAAGAATACTTCTTTCAAACCAATCTCAGAAATGAAAACAACAGCATTTTCATGTAGTCTGGACCATATTTTAGAACACCTTCAGTATTTGGTAGTTAAAATAGGAAGACACAGTCCTTTTTTGCTCTGCTTTAACATAGACTCTCCCCCCACCCCCTTAATTGCAGTGAATTCCACTTTGGATTTCAGCATGTTCCCACAGATTGTTGCTCCTGGGTCGCTCTGATAGTATTATTAATCTGCTTATTAAGCTGTCACAACATAACATAGCTTTTAGTGTAGATAGCTATGTTCTATTTGCAACAGCTAGTCAAGGAAAGCGTCTGTATTTTCTGCCTTAACTTTGATTAAGTAGGAATAAAATATACCTACTATTTTTCATAAATTCCATGAGCTTTAAAGAAGTCATGTCTATAGCCTTTTTTCTATACAGATTTAGTGTAATCAGTGAGATGATTTTATTTTTGAAGTTATTTTCTCAGTATTTTCTCCATTTCATGGCTTTCAAAAGGAAAATTTGATTCCCATAAAAACTCTATAAAATTGTTTTATGTTTATATAAAAATTTGCTATCATGTTTAATGTTATTCCTGTCCTATAACTATGTAGTTAACATGTATATTACTTTGTTTGTTTTCAGACGTTTGGAACAAAACCTCATCAAAATCATTCCCCCTGGAGCTTTTACGCAGTACAAGAAGCTTAAGAGAATGTAAGTTTTAATAACAAGACCAACATGCAAGAGCAATCATGAATCTTCTAGCTTCAAGTTCAGTATCTTTATTTGAGAAACATATTGGCAATTTCTATGTTGAAATCACTGGGGATTGCACAAATAATCTCTTCAAAGTGTAAGCAACAATGGAATTTGGTTCAGCATGCCTAACAGTGCATGAAATCCTTAATAATGCTTAATTTCACTTCCTATTATAAACGATGTGAGCTAATTAGTTGTTAGTCTGTTCAGACTTCAAATCTACTTCCTCAGAAAAGATTTTAAGTTCTGTTTTTTTCTCTCATTCATTCGGGTATCTGTTTGCACCACTTCAGTTTAGTTGACCCCAGTTATAGCAGGAGTGCATGTTCTTGCAGAGTAGTTAGGATTTTTTTGTAATACATTTAATGTCCTGATGCTGAAATGCTTTGACTGTTTACAGGAAAAGAAAGAAACCTGCTGGAGCTTGTTTTCTCTATTTCTTAATCACCAGTAGATACCCAGACAATTCTTTTCTTATTAGCTCTTCTGTTTTCTCTTTGGATTTAAAAAACATAATCCCGATTTGTAGCAGCGTTCTCATGCAGATAACCTGGGCATTCCCCCTGGTGGGCCTTTCTTTTCAATTTTAAGTGATATGTGAGACATGTTGTGACAGTAGTACAATGATACAGACAATGGTAAAACAAGTTACTCCTGCTTCACCGTAGTATCAAGACGTTGATGGGTACCACTGGACCAGTAACTTCCAGAAGTCATTCAGGCGTTGTAGCTCAGTGCTAAGACTGCTAAAAAGGTGCCTTTACAGTTCTTGTTCTCTGATGTGAACAATACTTACTGGAATTAAGAAACTGTCAGCTCATTTCACAGAAGACAGTGGATTCTTAGATAGCTAGTGCTTTTGGAAACTGAAATGAGCTTGCGCTCTACCTTTGGATTTAAGGGTAAAATCACTGTGTTTGCCAGTCCAAACTTATCAAGTTCCTAGAGCTGAAGAGCTGTAAATATGGATCTTAATATTTAACGGGTCGAATCATCAATCTTATAGAGTCTCTATTCTTCTGTCTCACTTTCAATATAGCTGTATGTATTTTTAAACAAGTACTGTATTAGATAGCAAGATGGTAATTTCAGTGAAAAATGACGGATTCCTTTTCAGTGACCTAACTTGTAACTTTTTCATTATTAAAGTCACTACTTAGCTCTTTCTGAGGTATGACTAATTTTAGATTTTGGCAATGTTTTACTGTCCTTTCATTTTTCATGATTGGTGAACTCTAGTTTTATGGGAATTGACCAAAAAAATGTTCCTTAACTTGACTAGCTGCTCAACCCAATGCTCCAGTTACTATGTGAAATGATTAATGTTAGAATTTCACAGCAGAATTCCATTAGCAAGTTGTGTTAACAGCTTTCTGGAGTATAATTGGCATACTCATTGAGATCTGAACTCATAGTTAAATAATAAATTATTATGCCAGATGATCTGTATCATAGCTTAGTTAACGTGACAGCATTTTGTGGAAGAACTTGGGATAGATAGTTAGGCTGCAGAATGTCCCATAACAAACATGACATTTTGCCATTTGGTTGTTGACCTGTTTCCTTGTTAAAGTTTTATTCCTGCTGGACAGTGAGGCTCTAAATTGGGCATCACTGTTGTTACACAAAGTTTAATTGAGGACATTTGTTCCACTATTTGAAGAGATTATTGACATCATCTTTTCAGTGTGCAAGATTCCCAGTATTGTTAACACAAAAATATACTTTGGTCAAAAGACTACCTCTTAAAAGAAAAGAATTATCCATCCTTTTCCTTATAGAGGAAGGACATGAAGGACATGTTCGATATCACTGAAGTCTTCAGCCTTTCTTAATTTCTGTCACTTTGATTTCAATGAGCAGTGCAATAGCATGAAGGTTATTATTTTAATTAATTGGTGCCCTACCCAGGGTACAAATGAAGAACGTTATTGTTATTATTAACTATTATTTATAATAATATTTTTATATAATTCAGAGGATAGTATTAGCATAACATTGTGAATTGTATTGTATTTTTCTCCTTCTGGTGAATCAATATGCAAGAATGTTAGGGATAATAGACTGCTCACCTGCAGCACTCTCAGTATTTTGATTGTTTAGTGAGTATTTCCTGCAAGATTATGCAGTTTCCTTTTCTTGAATAATTGGATAACTGAAACTAATTTTTAGGTAAGAGCCAGTTATCCAAGATAACCTTTATATGACTTGATGTTAATAGGTCAGGATGCTAGCAGAACATGTATGTATATTAATTCAAGTGTTATATTTGCATCTAGCTGAAGTTTGCTGTTTAGAATGTCTCTTCAGTAGCTTCCGGGATGGAAGAGTTATTTTGGTGATTTGGTTTTAGCAAAGGAGCTGAAATCTTTTTTGTCTTGGACTTCATCACAATTGTCTGCATCTTCTCACACAGTTAATTATATGAAGCTAAATGTATCTGTCTCAGAAGGAAGATTTGACACCTATAGGATTCAAATATGCAGTTGAATTATATGATCTGGGATGATGGTTCCCCTGATTTTGGAGTGAATGTAGCAGGTCCTAGCTCTGTGCTCAATTATTCGAGGGCTTTAGAAGACGTTTGAGGGGCTTGAAGGAGATACATCCCATCTCCAGAATTAGAAGTTGTTGTCATTATTGCATGAAGTATCCAAGCCCAGACATGCCATTTGGAATTCATTTACATAGCAGTTGTGCTTGTACCATAGTTCTGTAACTTCTAGCCTACGAGTTCCAAAGTTTATGGCATTACCTCCCATTTTATCTTTGCTTTTCTGAGACTTTTAACTAATGAGTTTGTAGCACAAGACTAAGAGCCAAGTACACAGAGCCACTTTGAAAGATGTGGTTGTACCTCTCTAGCTCTGATGCTTGTAGCGGCATTTCATGTTGTCAAATTAATTTTACTGTATATTAGCAGAAAACACATTGAGATTTCACAGTCTTCCCAGTAGCTCTGTGGCGTTGCTACTTCTGTTAAGCAGCTTCTAAAAACTAAACCATATATGACATGGATTTTTGCTGAGTACTCTTCTCAAATGAGAACAGTCCATTTTACATGTTAGAGATAATCAAGTAATCTGTTTCTAATAATGTTAGTTGACAAAGAGAATATTCATCCAATGCTATTAATAGTTTTGCATTTGGCTGCATCTAAAAATAAATCTGTTTTGTTTCAAAACCTTTTACAGTAAAGACATTTAAGCCATACAGTCATATGTTATACAGTGACTCACTCAGGGTATCCTTGCTCCCTTGGTGCAAAGTCAAAAACAATTTATGTCCCTAACTGGTAACTGTCCCTAACAGCCACCCTCCAAGGTGAGTTAAACAACCTTTTGAAAGAAGACCTCTACCGTACTGTCAGAGGTGCAGGGAGACTAGTATGAGGTGACTAATGTACTCCCTGCCTGGGTGGAATCCTGCTAAGTTTATTACATTTCCAGCTAAAAAGCCACATTTCCACCGAGTGATTCAGAGATACCCTAAACTATGAAAATGAGTCTTATATGATCTAAATTGACTTAGTTGTGCAGGTTAGAAAAACCCATATCTCTTTGTCTTGATGTAAATCAAGCACAGAATAGGATGATCTTACCAAAGCAGACCAAAGGAAGGGAATGAAAGTACAAGGACATAATTGAATCCCTTTGCCTCAGTCAAGTCAGGAGATGGAGCCTCCTTATCCGACAGCAGTGGAGCTTGGGCTCTAATGGAAAGGAAATAATGTGTCTAATTATCTTCTAATGCTGATTGTAGTGCATCTGCATGAAGTGAGTGAGTGTCATCACCCAGCATGGCATTTATGCACGTTCAGGCACCATTAGTTATACACTCATTAGCGTCCGGACATGGGGAGAGAAAAAGGATGGAAAAGTTGAAATGTAGCAAATCAGTAAAATAGTGCTGAAATACTTGTTTCAAAAACTAGATGCCCCTTTTCAGATGCTTGTCATTGTTCAGCAAACTCATGATTTCATGTCATTGTAATAGGTTTTAATATGTTCCTCAATAAATAGGTAGCACAGATTCACATCAGACTTATGCTTGCATAAGAATTACTAGATAAAAAGCAGCAAATGCTACCAGGCAGTCTAAACAAGTTTCACAAAAACCTGTATAAAAATAAATATTCCTACTTTCACTGTCACAAATTTGGCTGCTGTGAGTTGAGCTGAAGAACCCGAAACCTTCACTTAATGCTGTCCTTGTAGGCAGGATGTTGTAATCGAAAACATCAGTAGATTGCAGAGCAGGTGTTTCATAAGCCTTATAAAAGAACCAAAGAAAATCTCACTTTATGTGGCTAGATTTGAAAACAGTTAGAGGACTTGATTGAAATTTTAACCAACAGAATTTGTAGCTCGAAACATGTATAGAATGGAAAACCTTCTTACTTTCTGATTCATAAGTTCTTGTTCAAGTGATGTTTATTTAGAGTCTGACTGGGATCCTTAGCATGTGCCCCAGTGGAAATAACAGTGAAGATGTACGTGAAATACTGTATGACTCCAGCTTCAGCTATCAGTGAAACGATTTGATACTACTGATAAAAGCTGATACCAACTGCCAGTGAATGCAACGAGGTGGCTGAAAGTTATGCCTGTTGAACTGATTGACAGAAAGATTGGATTGCAGTGATAGTCATGATAAGGCACCCAGTTCTGAGCATCTGGGTCCCAAGTGTAGTAAATTTGGCTCCATGTATGAAGAAATTGTGGCGTAGTCTATATTTATCTTTGTGTACGTGGTTGGTTATGGTTATAATTGAAGGGTATTTTCCAAACCAGGAACACACTTTCCCTGGAAAATGACAGCAGGCTATAACTGAATTCTACTCACATTATAGCTGAAAGGGTGGAATCTTGCTGGAGCTCCCTGACAGGGTCTGCAACGTGCTGGGTGTTCCCCGCAGTGCTGCTGGCTTCAAAGGTCCATGATTTCCATTCAGATGCTCAAAGGTTTTCCCTAGTGTCCGAAAACTCTAGGCAGGCCTGTCAGTGCTGTGTCGACCCTCTTCTCACCCGCCTCACCAGATCAAGGTCATGGTAGAATTTTGAGCTGCTTGTTTTCTCTAGGCTATTAAAAACCAAACATCACTGGTACAGTGCCGAACTCCTCAGTGACGCTGGTGCCTGCTTTGGGATCGGGGGCTAGGTAGTCTGTTTCCCGGCCCCTTTTCCATTGGTATTAAACATGGTGTGGGAAAAGTCTTACTTCAGGAGAATTTTATCATAGAATCATAGAATCATTGGGGTTGGAAAAGACCTCTAAGATCATCGAGTCCAACCATCAACCCAACACCACCATGCCCACTGAACCATGTCCCTAAGCGCCTCATCTACACCTCTTTTAAATACCTCCAGGGATGGGGACTCCACCACTTCCCTGGGCAGC